TCCAAAAAGCTCGAGCTGCTTTCGCTGACTTACACCATCTCTGGCGTAGGCGTGACATCCGGTTATCAACCAAGGGACGTGTGTACTGCTCACCAGTTCGCTCCGTCTGTCTGTCTGTTTTCGACATAGAACTTTGCACAAATGTGCGGAAGTTCAAGTCGCCACATTCCGTGTAGCACGCGAAGCAAGAGAAGAAAGTACAAGAAAAGCATAATAGAAACAGTGAGCAGAGGTGTGAGACAAAGGAGTAATAAAGAAATACAAAACAGTTTCATTGGAGATCATAAGTCACAGGGAGTGGATGCATCTGCGCCACTGAGAACGATTTTGAGCCATGTCACCAATTGTTTCCAACCATAGATTTTTACCGTCCCGAGGACCCCAGCCTGGAAGTCTACACCTTCCTACGTGGCTTAGACCAACTGTTGTGGATTTCATTGACTGATGCCAAGTTTTTGTTTGACCGCCGCTAGCTTTTTTCCAGTCTGACCCTATATCCGCTAACATTGCTCGTCGAGGGAGGCGATGGCTTGGCATACGTAACACATGTCCTAACCATCTCAGTCGATGTAGCTTCACGACTTCGTCGATTGATTTCCCCTGTTTACCTAGAACTCTACGCCTAACCTCCATGTTGCTCACCTTATTATGCCACTTTACACGGGAAATAGAACGCAGGCACCTATGATCAAAGACAGCTAGTTTTTTCATGTCTTCCACTCTGAGTGGCCAGGTCTCACAACCATACATGAGGATGGAGCGGACTGATGAGCAGTACACCCGCCCTTTGGTCGATAGTCGAACATCTCGTCTACGCCAGAGTCGGCGTAAACTAACAAATGCGAAACGAGCCCCTTGTATTCGTGCTGAGATTTCGTCAGAGATCAGCCCGTTGGGGCTGATGGTACTTCCCAAATAAGTGAAGCGGTCAACGTGCTCTACCACTTCACTTCCTATTTTTAAACTAGGCGTCGATGTAGTCCAGTCCTGTAACATCATCTTGCATTTGGCGGGAGCGAATCGCATGCCAAACATTCGTAGATTGCGGCTCAAGGTGTTTAGAAGACTCTGCATTTCGTCAGCGTCTTCGCCTAGAAGGACTATATCGTCTGCATATTCCAAGTCAACGAGATTATTCCCCGGTAGCAAGTCAATTCCTGAGTCGCTGAAGTCACCTAGAGTTAAGTCCATTAACACATCTATGATGAAGTTGAATAGAAAAGGAGATAATGGGCATCCTTGACGGACACCACTGGTCGTCATCAGTTCAGATGACAGCTCGCCGTAAGCCCTCACCTGGCTGTATGAGTACGAATAGAGTGCTTTAATCAGTGCAATATATTTTCTCGGAATTCCCTTTACAGCCAAGCATCTCCAGAGAACTTCCCGATCGACAGAGTCGAATGCTGCCTTTAGGTCAAGAAATATAATGACTGTTGGACGCCGGTAGGAATGACTATGTTCTAGAATCTGTCGGAGGGTGAAGATATGATCAATACACCCTCTTCCTGGTCTAAAGCCTGCCTGGCTCTCTCGTGTTTGTGCTTCCCGAGCACCACTCAGTCTACGCATGATTATTGAGCCTAAGACTTTAGATACTATATTAGTCAAGCTAATTCCTCTGTGATTATCACAGGAAGACTTGTCTCCCTTCTTGTATATGGGGATAATCAGTGACTTACACCAACCCGATGGGACTTCTTCTGATTCCCAGACGCTGCCTAGTACCTCAGTTAATGCAGACAGTAAACTGTCTCCACCGTACTTAAATACCTCTGGTGTCATTCCATCAGGTCCCGCTGCTTTGCCTAGTTTCAGATTGGTGACAGCTTTAGTAACCTCAGTTAGTGACGGAGGACCTGTGTCTATATCCCATTCAGGGATATAGACAGGGATATAGTTCGCTCCGTCCTTCTCTATGGCTCTGAAACATGGCCAATACGAGTTGAAGACATGAAAAGGTTGACTGCTTTCGATCATAGATATCTACGATCTCTGTCTCACGTTAGGTGGTTTGATAAGGTAAGTAGTGTTGACGTTAGGCGTAGGGTGTTGGGCAGAGAGGGAAAACCAATCGACGAGGCTATAAAGTTACATAGATTGAGATGGCTAGGTCACGTGGTGCGCATGCCTAACCATCGCCTCCCCCGGCGACGGGCATTACTAGCTGATATAGGCGGTGCAGGTTGGAAAAGAGTAAGTGGTGGCCAAACAAAAACATGGCATCAATCCATGAAATCCTTGACAGTTAAACTGAGTCAGGTAGGGCGATGCAGACTTCCCGGTTGGGGCCCTCGGGACTCTAGGAATCAATGGCTGGAGACAATAGGTGACATGACGCAGATGTATTCAGTCTCTGTAATCTTTCATATTTCTTTCTACCGTTACCCATTCTGTTTCGCTCTTATATGTGTCAAACTCTATTGATTCTCTTCACTCATCTTCTTGTCTACCTTTGTGTGCTATTTGGAACGTGGCAACTCGAACTGGTGCACTTCGGTGCGAAGTTCTATGTTGAATCCAGACAGACAGACCGACCTCGTTAGACAATGTTTGAAAAATGATAGCACAGTGTTTATGCGATTGACCAGTAAGTAAGAGTAGTCGGAAAGTACGTGCACCAAACTAGTAGTAGTTGGAGTAAATTCTTTGCAGTTGTTCCTCTGTCAATTTCACCAACACTTAGACTATCAAGCAGTTCAAATATTACCAAAGGAAATCATAATAAGGCGGCATCATAGCTATGTATTTCGCCAACAATGGATATTAGAACCAGACATATAGGCGAACAATATTGTTTTCAATTAGATCTTCAGGCTTTACTCTAATTTGCATAGATTTATATATAACAATTCCAACCAATGACGGTGTTTTTGTGGATCAAATAATAATGTGGTAAATGTTTTGAACGAAGTTAATAACGGTGATTATAATAATAACAAAATATTGATAATAAGGTTTATACAGGTGATAAGACTAACAAAGATAGTATATGCATGTATGTGTATATGTAGACAATTCAATAAATCAAATGGAACGATAATCAGAGTTTAAATAAATGTCATAAAAGTACGAAGGAGATGGATGATAAGAAAGGGTGGGAGGGTTTTGAGTAGAATTCACCTAGGCTAAGCAAGGGAGAGACAAATGTAAAACAAATTTCTTTTGTATACAAAGACTAGGATTGCTCTCTCGAATCAATTCCCATAGCTTCGACTAAGTGTAAGAGACGGGTTCTGATTCCGTTCGAAAGACTCGATGGAATGCGGTAAATAACTTTGAAGGCACTATTTTTGTCCACTTGGTGACCACAATCAATCAAATGAGCCAAAATAGAACTTCGTATGGATTTTATTTGAACTTTTCCGAACCATGAAGGAAGATGCTCATTAATGATGCGTTTGATAAGCTGTCTAGTTGTTCGGCCTATATAGCTTTCTCCACAGGAGCAACTAAATTTATAGATACACATGGAAGTGGCACAGCTAGGTAGCTTATCTTTCACTTGAGCAATCAAAATTGGCTGGCTGGAAAATGACAAAACAGAGGGTGGCGGCAATATAAGTCCGTTTTATCGCTGTCGATGATCACTGATTTAAGACTTCGCTAGCCACGTCCCCATTAAATTGTAGTTTCACAAACAGTTGTTTCTACTTAACTACTGTCGGTTTTTCTTTATTGTACCTGGTATCCATGAGTCTCTTTACAAATCTACCTGGATAACCCATTTGGACCAACTTATTTTGGATGTATCCTAGCTCATTCTCTAGAGAGTCATCTGTACAGATACGTCTTTCTCTATTTGTCAGGCATCTAACCAAATTGATTTTGTATCGGATAGGTACAAAACTAAGGAAATGTGTATATTGTCCTACAGGTGTAGGTTTTCTATGGATATGCATGTCGGGTTGCACTGTAAAATCAATAAGTATATTCCTTACTAGTTTCAGTTCTAAGTCATGATCATGAGACTCATTTAAAACAAGCAATAAAGGCTGTTAATAAAGCAGGGTGATTTAATGAATTCATCAAATTTCGGTAGAACTCGTCAGCTGAATACTCTACATACACGGATATATATGTACTATTCAAATTACATTGGGAGATATAAGTCTGATAAGTAAATAAACTACATTGAATTAATTATGCAGAAATACACGTGCGAATGTTTTACCGGTCATGTTCAAATAGATGTCAGCAAACAAAGAAACAAGAAGATGCTTGCAATTACAGAGGCTTGTGCAATTCGAATTTATAAACCAGCTCTCTGTATTCAAAAGGAGATGGTAGTGACTCTGAGTCTACCATGGTAATACGTTTTACTTAATATTCTCTACTTGTTATTATTATTATTATCCTACCTCTTCTTCTTACTATTATTGTTATTATTATTATTCTTGATTCATCTAAAACTATGCTTTATCAGTAAGACTATCTTAACTCACTTCAACACTATTATTATTATAACTATTACTATTGATATTAGTCTGTTTGCAATTCTCCTTATATTCCCTAATGACTAATTGTTTACCTAAGTGATGTAATTGAAGCGTAATGCAATTTATTTTAATTTTGATCTCTCATACTCTCTCTCTCGCCTTATCTATTTGAACATGACCTGTAAAACATTCGCACGTGTCTTTCTGCATGACTAATTCAATGTAGTTTATTTACTTATCAGTCTTATATCTCCCAATGTAATTTCAAAGTATATATATCCGTGTATGTAGAGTATTCAGTGGCTGACGAGTTCTCCCGAAATTTGATGAATTCATTAAATCATCCTGCTTTATTAACCTTTATTGCTTGTTTTAAATTCGTCTCGGGAAATAAATGTTTTCAAAACTGAACAGAGTTGTCCTGTGTAATATGGTAACTAACGTGTGTCCGTCCTTAAGTATTATTACTATTATTATTATCACTTAACAGTGTACATTATACAACAAAATAGTGTATACATTGACCTAACTGAAATTTAGTTAATTTAAAAAAACTTTTAGGCTGAAAAGGATAGAAAGCAAGAGGAGTATGAAGCGACGAATGCTCTGAAAAATCGTATTCATCGTCTGGATGAAGATGAAGTCGAATATCTACAAACGTTATCTGCTAAACAACACAAAGCTGAATTGGAAAAGGAGAAAGAAATTGCCGAATTACTAAAAGAAGCAAAAGTATCCTTTTTATTATAATAAGCTTGGTTGGTACATTCTAATTTTAAATATTCCCTATTACATACTTCACCTTTGTAATCCTATGTTCGCTGGCTTTCTTGACTTCAAGTATATATATATAACATTCAGGCAAATCGACCAGTTCATGTTTCGTCTACAAATACTCTATCTGGTTTAAGCACAAAGTCTTTTTATAATAAAGGAGGTTCAAGTCAACGAACTCTCATAGCTAGTGCTGTGAAACGGACTTCGTAAGTGGTGGTTTTGTATAATTTTATACTTCTGGCTATATTTCCAGTAGCATGGATATAGTTGGCCCACAGTCAAAGCGAGCAAATACAGGAACATCTGGTAAGTTAACTAAGCATTTTATTTGGTTTTCATTTATTGTTTGGCGTTGTATAATGAGGGAAATTGAGTTTATACTACGTTTAAAATGACTTACGGCTTACGGCTGATAAGCTGCAAGCAAAATAAGCACCATATCAGAGTAGGGAAATAATTAAATTTGAATGGAGGTTATTTAAATTATGCGATCTAGTCCAATCCCCTTATTTTGTAAATATGCTGCCGACTGGCTCTTCTTGCAGATTCCTTCTGGCCTGCTGTGCTAACTTGCGGGGGTGGGGGGTGGGTACTCGAACTTTGTTCAGCAGTGTAAGGTAAGCTCTTAAGGAGAGCTGTCGTTTAGGTCACAAGTGTTTAGTGTGTCATCGTTGCCATTCAATCTCATCGTAGATGTGCTGGTGGATTTCACTGGTTGACTTCAGTGTCATGTATGTCAGTCGACTTACTACTATAAGAAATTCTCGTTTGTTTATCTAGAAATCCGTATACTGCAAAGTCCTTAGGACACTGAACATCTTGGGCAAATATTCTGACTCTAAATATCGTGCAACAACCTACTCGTATTAAATGGGTAGGGTAATGATATAAAACTGAACTTCATCTACTATTATTATTATTTCAAAGATGGGAAGTAAGTTTTTTTTAAAATTACGTTGAACACTCCACTTATTTAATAATAATAATAATAATCATAACAATGACGGCTTTAATCTAAACAGTATTTGTGGTACAGGTATGGAATTTTCAATGTGCATTACAATATATTGCATCTAATTACCTTATAAATTTTATAAGATTTTTAAAATAAAAAAAATAAAAAATAAATAAAATTTTAAAAAAAACAGCATACCATTTACATTTCAAACAATGCACCACAGGATATGAAATATAAAATTGGTGTGTAATAGAAGATAAGGACAACAGTTTAATAGTAACGAGGAAAGGAAAACAAAAACAACTAATGGGACTATCTGTTAGAGTGACGCAGTAAGTTGATCGTGTCATACCTAAAGGATTTCTCATCACGCACACAAGAGCTGTGCCAGATATGGTATTGTGGAGTTACTCTACTTGGTAGTCCTAGCATATAGCCTCCTATAGCTGCTGCTTCTAGTTCTACCAGATGAAATGCAAGGAGACAGCTGCGCGTATAGAGAGGATTCTCGGGGTCTGACAATATTGTATTCGCTAGTTTCTTACATGACATTAGATGATAGAGAAGATTTGTAGCTCAGGTGGATGATTTTGATGTGGTTTTGTTCTCTGAGCTGGATGGTTAGTTTGCGAAGCTTTCATCACCTTACTGGGTGACTTCAAATTGAAGTGTGCGCTGAAGATGTCACCCAGTAAGTGATGAAAGCTTCGCAAACTAACCACCAGCTCAGAGAACAAAATTACATGACATTATATGTCTATCCACAATAGTGTTAACTAGTTGGTTTAACGGTATCCCACTTGCCCTACTAACGGCTTTTAGTACCTGCCCTTCTCCGAAAGGAAAAGTCTTTCTTAAGTATTCCAGGAAAGATTAATGGGGAGGAGTAAAGGGGGATGGGTAGAATGCACGAATTTACAAACTGAGAAAGCAAAGACTGCTTTATGCCAGACTGCCTAAATTTCCTAACGTTAAACGAAACATCTTTCTAGTAACTAGCAAGATGTGGGAGAACCAGGAAAGATCGGTGGAAAAACTCAGCCCAAGTTAGTTGACATTAGATGTATTTTCAACCTGTATGCTGTCAATGATAGTGGGGCCATGTGAGCTAACTAGTTGTTGTAGGTCACGTTTACGTCTGAAAGTGAAATTGACTACCTGACATTTAGACGGATTCAGCTTAAGTCCGTTTGAAGAGGACCACTGACTAATTTCCGACAGAAAGTTATTTAATTTGGAACAGTCTGACTGAGAGTTGACAGGCATAGAAATAGAGAGGTTATCAGCAAACATACTTAACAAAACTGGCTACATCAGAATGAGGCAAGTCATTGTAAGAAAAGCGAAAACAGAAAGGGAGAAAGAACAGCACCTTGAGGAACACCAGCTAAATTAAGTGAGGTAGTGGAGGACTTTCCATTGTAGACGGTGTACTGCTTTCTATCAGAAAAATAGGAATGCAACCACTTATTTATCCAGCTCTCAGCCTGTGTTGCAGAAAGCTTACTTAGCAAGAGAGACCTGGGAATAGAGTCAAATGCAGATGTGTAATCAAGGAAGGCACAGCGAACGTATTTAGCTCCTTTATCTAAACTAGAGACTATACTAGGATGTAGGACAACAGCGGAATGTAACGTACACCTACTATGTTTATAAGAAAACAGGTTAGGGTCGTTGAAAGGCTTTAAAGAGTGTTCAAGATTAAGGGTTCACTCCACCCTCAGTGAACTGGTTGTTGGGAAAATCTTATCGTTGGGCTCGTTTAGCATTTTTGCTAACTTGTATTAATTAATTTCGTTACGTCATTTTTGGTGTCCCATTAAAGGACATCTGCACAACAATTTGTCGTGTCATAACACAGTACTTGTCACTGGATTTTGTACACTGCATTTAGGAAATAGTATCAGTCTTCTTTAAAAGTCGGGTATCCATTTCGATGATCTGTTAACTTTCTGTCTACTTTCAAACGTGCAACATAGATTTGCTTATTGTCCTAAACTAACTAAGAAACGTCTTTCGAGTTCTCGGGATTATGTCTGTTAGAATGTACTCATATACAGAGTAGTCTGTAACTCCATTATGGATAAGATTTTATTTTGATAAATCACACGGTGGTGTTGTACAGTAATATTAACTGATGACCACGTTTCGAGCACTATCTATCGCCACTCATAATCATATCAAGTTACTCACACAACTTTTTTCCTTCATTTATATACATGTGTGGAATCAGTTAGATATTCGATTAAAATTCAATGTGAGATAATCTACATTCAGAAATAATAATAGTACGAGTGTTGTTGATCAATTGCAATTAGATGGGAAAAAGGACGAGTGTGTTTTACAGTCATAATAAGCTACTTGTTAGAATGTTGTGTTTGAATTGAAATAGAATTTTAAGATTATTTATTATCCTTTTCTGATTTAACTGACTGATGGCAATAATACGAGTGTTATTGATCAACTATAATCAGATGGGAAATACGACAAGAGAACTACGAAGAGAACTAAGCTCTAGTGAGATAAAAGTACTTGAGAAAGGACTAAATTTCAACGTGACAGTTAATAAATTAAAGCCAGAGGATGTCATTCCTAACATAGAAGTAGCACTAGGTTCAATAGATAAGACAACAACAGAAGAGATTAGAGCACAATGTGTGCATTAACCCTGAAAAATCAAAAGAAGGCAAGATCAAACTTAACAAAATCAGAAAGGGAAGCTTTAATTAGTCTAAAACAGGATAAAAATATTGCCAGCGCAAAAGCTGACAAAAGAAATGCCACCGTAGTTTTGGATAAATCTGACTACATCAAAAAAGTTACTGAACATATTCAAACGGGTTCATATGAGGAAATTAAGAAGCCTGTAGATACAATAATGAATAAGGTTAAGAAATCTACAGCGGAACTAATACGCAGAATGAAGCCATCACTGGGTGAGTCTAAATGGTTTAATTTAATGCCTAAAACTAATAATGCTAGTAGAATATATGGTACTATTAAAATACATAAGCCAGGTTACCCCATAAGACCAGTAGTAGATTTTAGAAATACCCCTACTTATGAATTATCAAAACACTTAGCTCTAATACTTTGTCCCATTAGAAACCGTTCAAACTCTAGATTAACTAATTCATATGAGATGAAAAATAAACTAAACGACATTCAACTAGAGAATGATGAAAAAATTGTTAGTTTTGATATAACTAGTCTTTATACTAATATACCAGTCAATATGGCAGCCTTAGAAGCAGTTAAAAAAGAACTAACTGCGGATCCTGAACTTAGTCATAGGACAAAGCCACCCATTGAACAAATTATGTTAGAGATTCAGTTATGCCTCACATCTACTATCTTTAAGTTCCAAGGTAAAATATATAGACAAACAGAAGGTGTAGCAATGGGATCACCAATATCCCCTATCGTAGCAGACATATTTATGGACAGTTGGGAAGTAGTGCTCTTAATTTGTTTAATCCTGCTCCAAAAATATAGTGAAGATATGTGGATGTCACTTTCCCTCACAGTGTTAAAAACAGAACATATCTCTAGCTTTCTGACACATATAAACTCACAAGTAGAGGGAATAAAATTCACATTTGAATCAGAAAATGAACTAGAAGGATTAGCTATGTTAGATTGTAAGATAAAAAGAATAGAAGAAGGCAAACTTCACACTAGTGTTTATAGAAAACCAACGCATTCTAATAGATATTTGGACTTTAATTCGTCTCATCCTTTAACTGTTAAGGCAGGCCTAGTGAAGTGTTTAACAAACCGAGCCATAGCACTAAGTAGCACAAGAAAAGACCTAAATGACGAAATAAAACAGATAGAAGAAGCGTTGGTGTTGAATAACTATCCTATAAAATTCATTAAGAAGATCAGTAAAGACCAAAAGTAAAATAAAAATAATCGTGAAACTATTAATGATAACACAAATAAGAAAGAATATAAGTCATCCACTGTTATACCATATAATGAAGGAACATCTGAGGCCCTACGTAGGATTCTTAATAAAGCAGGAATTAGGGTGGCATTCAAAGCTACAAACTCACTCAGAGACAAGCTCTGTAGGCTAAAAGACCCGGTGGATCCAATTAAACAAAATAACATAATTTACAAAATACCCTGCAATGACTGTGAGTTAGGTCAGCTACATAGGTCAGGGATAGTCAGATTATCAGAACATAAGAATTTAGCTAAGGTAAGAATGGTTGACCCTAAAAAGATAAGTAATTTAGAAAAAAAAACCTCAGCTATTGCACTTCACGCATTAACAAACAACCACGCAATAGGGTGGGATAGGGTTGAAATTCTAAAAAGTGATATAGGTAGGTGGAGAGAGAGGTTGATTACGGAATCCTTGTTCATCGAGTCTACACCCAACACATGCAACAGAAATAACTCAATGCAAATACCAGAAATATGGAAGATATTATTACCACAGGTCAAATCAGAAGAGGATAATAAATAATCTTAAAATTCTATTTCAATTCAAACACACCATTCTAACAAGTAGCTTATTGTGACTGTGAAAAAAAACACTCGTCCTTTTTCCCATCTAACTGCAATTGATTAGCAACACTCGTACTACTATTATTTCTGAATGTACATTATCTCACATTGAATTTTAATCGAATATCTAACTGATTCCACACATGTATATAAATGAAGGAAAAAAGTTGTGTGAGTAACTTGATATGATTATGAGTGGCGATAGATAGTGCTCGAAACGTCGTCATCAGTTAATATAACTGTACCACAAACACTGTGTGATTTATCAAAATAAAATCTTATCCATGATCGAGTTTTATACTTCTATCGGACTAATTGTGTAGGAATAAATGATGATTCCACCTAATTATCGAAGATAATGTAGGTGAGGCGGAACTGCTTTGAACGATTGCTGTTCGAAAGTCAAGTACTAAAAACTGATACACATCTTTCATTGGATAGTTAGTCTGTTTTGTGCCAGTCACATATTTAAACTATTTTCAAGTTATTCAAGTGTTGGTTTGTAGGGATTTGGTTGATTGGTTTACAGGATTTCATCATGAGCTGACATTAGTTAGAAAACCATTGTAAAACCACATGGGAATACTGAGCAGCCGCTGTTTCGTCCTATTTTGGGACTCTTCATCAGTACGCACCCACCGCCAGCGGGATTCGAACCTTAGGGCCTTCTGGTTACAAGGCGAGCTAGCTCGTATACCATTAAGCCACTGGAACTCGTTCCAATGGTCCTTGAATAATTCTGCCTTCTATTTTCAAGTTAATTTTGTATGAATTGTGAAAGTGATTTTGCTAATTTTATGGTGTTTACTCCTCTAAAATTCAATTTTTGTGCATTCACCCCACAGCTTCAAATGAAAAGAATCCAATCGATCCTTTGGCAAAAATGTATACAGATGAATCAACTAATCGTGATATGTCTAAGCAATTGATGAATGGATCTCTTAACATACTACCAGGATTTAGCGACTATTCAGATTCAGACTTAGATTCTGAGGAGTCAACAGATTCCACTAGTGACGATTCAACAGATATAGAAGATTCTGTTTGTACATTACAACAAATCGCTTGTACAAGAATGCTTTATGTTAAAGCTGAAGGTTCCAGAGACAATTGAAGTGTATGAGTGATACTATTTTCTGATGTACGGGCTTGCGCCTTTTTTAATAATAATAATAATAACAACAATAATAATTTCGCTTTTATTCCAGAAACAGTACTTGTGGTACAGAGTGGAATTTTCAGCACACATATCTACAATATTGTATCTAATTTCATCGCTCATTTAAAAGGAGTATTACAAAAAAAATATAAAAAAAACAACAACAAAACAGAAAAGAAACAAAAAATGCAAATAAAAATACCAAGTAGAAAGGAAGATAAACACCAATAATGAATAATATTTCAGTATTTGGTAGTGGGAGCTATGATATGTGTATGCGTGTTGAACAGTTACAGCTATAGTCATACAAGAAGTTATGAGATGTTCTTAAAAATGTTTATAGCCGAGGTGATCAGTTAATTTGATTGAACAACACTAAACAATCATTAACTAAACATTTCAGGTTGTGTTTGTTTATTGTCAGCACTAATGCAGTGTTTTTTGTGGTAGTGTGAGTAATCCTGCATAATACAAAATTTTAAGATGGTGATAGTGGCGTTCACAAACAACATTATCAATTAAATAGTGCTGAACAAAGAACAACTACAAAACTAATAATACATGATGGTTAATGACAGGGCAATTTTTTAATACTCATAATGATAATATAGTCGGACCCAGTAGATACACAAAAGAAGGAATAGAATAAAGAATAAAAAAGTAAGCCAGTGATAATAATTTTAAGTAGCTCAGTATGTTTAAGAAGGTTGTTCACTATGGAGTACAAATAAGAGAGTATAAGGGGGAAATAACAAGGGCCAAAATTATGTTATTAACAACAAAGCAAGTCATAGGTTTCACGCTTAACGTTGTCTCTGTCACTTAGAACACGGGCCAAATATGGTATCGTTGAGTTCCCTATACTTGGTTGTACGAGCATATGTTATTTTGTACTGATTTCTGGTTCTACCTGATGAGATGCAAGGAGAGAGTTGGGGATCAGACAGCATGGTTTTAAACCATTTTTTGTATGTATTCAGATGCTCATCCACTAATGTAGTGACGAGCTGACTGAGTTTTACACCGCTAGTCCTACTAACTACCTTCAACATCCTTCTCATAATGGTATAGTCCTTTTTCAGTAAGCCAGGAAAGACTAACAGGGAGCAGTAAAGTAGAATAGGTAGGATACGAGAGTTGACAAATTGTGAAAGCAGAGGTTGAGTGACTCCAGTTAGTCTGTGTTTCTTAATGTAGTAGGTTAGACGAATTACTTTCTTGGAAATCGTTTGGATATGAGATGACCAAGTAAGGTCGAAAGATAGAACTAATCGGAGGTATTTTGCATTAGACTTAATTTCAATTTTAGTCCCCTCAATTCTACAGGCATCATGAGTGCTTACTAGTGTTTGTAGATCTCGTTTATGCCTAAAGGAGAAGTCAATAATTTCTGGATATCATCTACTGTTTGTGTCGTCACAAGGACATATTTATTAGTTGACTTAAATAAACAGACTAATTTGTGTATCAGTAAGCAATTGCTTAATTAAAAAAAATCAAAAACAGATTCAGCAAAGAAAATTTTCTTCATCGACGAAATCATTTTCAGAGGCTGGCTGTACAGTCGTATTTATACGTAGAAAAATCTATAATGGTCTATCATTGAGTAATAGGGGGGTGACATAATTGATGTAATTAGTCATAAGTGGCTTTAGAAGTGAAAAGAATTGAAAGTTGTAAATTACATGGTACTAAACGGAACAAAGATAGAAGTTTGACAAGGTTAAAATTGCTCTTGAGTGAGAGAGAATAAAGGTGGTATTTGAGTGTCAATTTAACAAGTGTGAAGAGGGTGGGAAAATATACAAAAGGAGCATATGAGATTGATAATAGTGAATTAATTATTAAAGCAAAAGCAAACTAAAAGTAAAATTAAAAAGAGAAGAAAAAATCAAGAATTTTTTACAGGGAACGATCAGTGAAGAGGTTAAGACCAGGGTAGAATAAGAGACTGGATAAACTTTTTCTGTATACAGAGATCAGGGTTATATTGATGAATTACCAGCGCCTCCGCCATACACAAAAGCCGAAACCTGACGCCCTTTGTACCATTTGGCTTCACTTTGTAGATGATGTTGAAAGACGACCCTGGTGGAGCTACGTGGCCCGAGTTCACCAAATGCTCGAGAACTGAGCTAGTAATTGTCTTGCATTGTCCTTTTGCTAACCATGCCGGATAATGTTCAGAGATGCGTTTGGAAAGCGTGCGCTTTGTGCGGTCAATATAACTAGCTCCACACGAGCAGGTGAATTTATAAACACACATTGAGGTGGCCCAAAGGCGGCAGTTTATCCTTCACACATCCGTTGATCATTTATTGGCTGTAGAAATTGATACGTGGCTCAGCCATAAAGAAGGCTTTCCTCAGTGATCTGCATAAAGCAGTGATTCTTCAGGATCTCAGCGGCGGTATCACCTTTAAATTCAACACTCATAAAGAGCAGTTTCTTCGGCACCGTCTGGATTCTTTCAGGCTTTTCTCTTAACTTCATGTTTTTCTCGATAAATCTTGGAGGATATCCATTCTCTATGAGAACTTGTCCGAGTCGCTCCAGTTCCTCATCAATTGTATCACTTGAACATATCCTCCTTATTCTTGAGGATAAGGAATGGATCAGATTTCTCTTTCTTCTTAAAGGGACCCAGCTATGGAAATTTGTGTACTGACCATTCCATGTTGGTTTCCTGTAGATCGATCTTTGAAGAGGACCAAATCTCCTCTTTAGAAAAACATCCAAAAAATGGAATTCCGAGTTAATCTTTGATTCCGACGTGAACTCTATGGAATGATGGCACCTGTTGAACTCCTTAGTTATCAATTCGATGTCAGTATTGTCGTCACATATGATAAAAGTATCATCCATGTATCTTTGGTACAGATGGAAATTGTCGATAGTAGGCCGTAAAATACTATTCTCCAAACTAGCCAAGAAGCAGTCTGCAAGTAAAGGACCCAATGGTGACCGAATTGCTACTCCATCTCTTTGTCTATAAATCGTGTTGTTGAACTTGAATTGGACATTTAGAGTGCACCTCGAAAGTAGTTCTTTTAAGTAGTTGATCGCAACACATGAGTCTACATTATTATCCTCAATGAATTTGCATATAAAGCAGATAGTTTCAGTGAGGGGAACGTTGGTGAAAAGCGAAATACCATCCATAGATATCATTTTCTTCACAGATACATTAACATCACTTATTGAATCGACGAATTCAAACGAATCAGAAACACTATGCTTGCAGAGGTTATTTCTGGTAGGTAAAAGGATTTCTGTGAGCCATTTAACAGTTGTATGATATGAGGAATTTGTCATGTCCAAGATTGGACGTAGTGACACGTTTCTGACTGCATCACTCACTGGGTGATGCGAGTTCGAATCTCAGAAGATGGGACATGACTTCCTTCGAAGTTGCAGATACGCCTTATCCTAACTGGTGAGTGCCAACAAGCATGACACCTAGGTGTGTGTGTGTGTCCAAGGCTTCCTGTGGACGATTGTCTCCAATCATCTAACATCAACAATTCAAAGTACACCGTGATGGCGAGCTACTTAGAATGCTGACCACATTGAAAACCTAACTGATAGAATTCAGTCTACATCAAAACAAGGACTAGGAAGCATCCCACTACTTACTGATTAGTGTCCAATTAAAGTGACAACACAATTCATTTTAATATCATAATCGCATGCATGCAATCGATCATTTCCACTGTTGCCTCTACGATATTATTTTGACTAACACTCACTAATCTGAGTAAATTTGTACATATTTTATTAGTTACTGTATAGTTTAAATGTTAAAGTCTATTGAATGTATTCATGAAACATACTGTGTTGTAACTGACATGATTACACGACAGCTGAAGTGAATGTAAATCTCTGTCTTCCTGCTAATTGACAGACATATCTGCTTTTTGTCTGCTTGGTCGATGAAATCCAAGAAGTTTTTCTTTTTTGGTGTTTCATTATTGATAAATTTTATTTTGATAAAGTCATCTCAAAAAGTAATACTGACCAAGTTAAACTTTAAGAACCACTAACTGCCGATAGAGTGCGTACGCACCAATGACCTTGAAACACCCGCTGAGCAAATTAGTGAAACCTGGTAAATACTGTTGTCACCATGATTAAAATATGCTCATCGAAGTGTTATGCTATTAAATAGGGTATCTGGTAAGTTTCAGCTTAGGTTTGGGAAAGATTAAGTTAGGCTTTGAGCCAAGGACAAGTTAGGGTTAGGTTAACCCAATAAAGGTGACATTAGGGTTAGTTCATCTTACTGTATTTTATGGTGTCACACTTTCTATCGTTTAATCATAACTCTGCTATTTCATTTTAGTTGGTATTACTATTATTACTACAATTTTATACTTTATGCATATTTTTCTCCGTATGGCATAGTGTTATTTCCTACATAGCTGCTGCTATAACAATCGTTTTATTATTATTATGTAATGTGTATTTTTAATTTTTTTGTCTTTATTGAGTAAATTAGACGCAATATTGTACTAAATGCTGAAAATTCCTTGCTGTATCATTAGTAGTGTTTTTGGAATAAAGCAAAAATTATTATTATTATTAAAGGAGTGCGTCGGCCGAGGCTGAACCCGGACCACATGAGGTGTGGTCGGCGAGCATTCTACCATTGTGTCACACCTATACACTGTGAGAAGAAAAACGTATTTATCTGTTTGTTTACTAACTTCAAAATCAAAATTACTATCGAATTAAGATAATAATGTATAGTTCTGACTTCAGACTATTCAGACAATTTAATATTTCATAAGATTTTGACGCTTGATTGACTGTCATGCAAACATATTCATTAGCAGGTAAATTCTTGCACAAATCCCTTCTATAGGTTTTAGGTCGGTTTTCCTAATCGGACCGAGGCACAGACTTAATGTCACACTATACTGCTGCCATATATAATTTTTTCTGAAAGAATAATGACTTCAGCTCCCTTATTTTGTATCGCCATTATTATTATTATTCGTTCTTAGAGTTGTGAATCGAACATAGGACTTCA